CATACCACCCAGTCACTACCCACAGCAGGCTGCCCTTCCAAACTAAGCAGCCGAGTAAATACGAAACTGGTTAGGGATGCCACTGTGAGGCGAACAGTGACTTTGAAGGACTTGCAAAGTTTCATGTTTGAGATGGAAGTCAGTGTTCATACATTGACAACATCCTGGTCCCTACACAAAGCTGGTCTGTATGGGCGAGTGTCAAGAAAGAAGCCGTTACTGAAAAAGAATAATTTTAAATCTCGTATGCGGACATGTGGCAGAAGGTTTTGTGGTCAGATGAGACAAAATTGAGCTTTTTGGTCTAAATTCAAAACGTTACGTCTGGAGCAAGCCCAACACAGCACATCACCTAGTCAACACCATCCCAATTATCAAGCATGGTAGTGGCAGCATCCTATTATGACGATGCTTCTCATCAGCAGGGACTAGGAAGCTTGTCAGGAGAAGATGGATGGTGCAAAGTACAGGCGAATCCTAGAGGAAAACCTGCTTGAGTCAGCCAAGAATATAAAACTGGGTTGAAAATTCACATTTCAGCAGGACAATTATCTGAAGCACAAGGCCAAAGCCACACAGGAGTGGTTTCAAAAGAATAAAGTGAATGTCCTGGAGTGGCCCAGTCACAGTCCCGACTTGAATCCAATGGAAAATTTATGGTGAGACTTGAAGATTTCAGTCCATCAATGATCCCCAACGAACTTGTCAGAATTGCCAATTCTTCCTGAAAATTACACCACCCCATTGTGCAAAGTTGATAGAGACATATACAAAAAGACTCACAACAGTAATTGCTGCCAAAGGTGCTTTCAACAAATACTGATTTAGGAGACTGAATACTTATGCAATCAGCAAATTTCAATTTATATATTTTCTTTGCAAGTTTTGTTGACATTTAAAACAAAATCACTAAAAATACATGGGCTCCATCATGCTGTAATCCATTAAGTGATGTTACGAAAACAACGTTGTAAAGCATGTATTAAGACACTATTTATAATATGTATCCTTTTCTTTTCCCCACTGGGTCAGCGGTAATTTTACGTACTTACAACGCTAAAATCCGGGTTCAATTCGCCATGATGGATAGAGCGCAGATAAGCTACTATGTAGCTTTGCGCTAAAACAAACAAAATATTTTCCTTTTATTATGAATTCATTTGCCATTTCCATAAGCTATGCCTTTCTTTCTTTATTTAATTGGAATTTATCATATAAATTGTTTAATTAACCATATAATCTTAGCAGACACTGTTGAACATGAGATACGAAAATAATAATCCAAGTAGGATTGTGAAAGTTGTAAATCATAATGTAAATGTGTACTTTATTTAGAGCAAGGAAGATTATTTGATGGTTAATGACGTCAAACTACACCCGGTTTACTTTAGCTCGACACTTTGTGTTTTTTGCTTAATCTGTTTACATTGTTAAAAGTGTTGTTATATTGTTTTTTGTTTACTATATAAAGATATGCTTACATTGTTAAAAGTAGTTAAAAGTGTTGTTATATTGTTTTTTGTTTAATATATCAAGATATGCCTACATTGTTAAAAGTAGTTAAAAGTGTTGTTATATTGTTTTTGGTTTAATATATCAAGATATGCTTACATTGTTAAAAGTAGTTAAAAGTGTTGTTATATTGTTTTTTGTTTAATATATAAAGATATGCTTACATTGTTAAAAGTATAGTTATGATGTTTTTTGTTTAATCTCTAAGGGTATGCTTACATTGTTTAAAGTATAGTTATGATGTTCTTTGTTTGATCTCTAAGGATATGTCTTACATTGTTTAAAGTACGGTTATGATGTTCTTTGTTTAACCTCTAAGGATATGCTTACATTGTTACAAGTATGGTTATCATGTTCTTTGTTTAACCTCTAAGGATATTCTCACATTGTTAAAAGTACGGTTATGATGTTCTTTGTTTAAGCTCTAAGGATATGCTTACATTGTTACAAGTATGGTTATGATGTTCTTTGTTTAACCTCTAAGGATATTCTCACATTGTTAAAAGTACGGTTATGATGTTCTTTGTTTAACCTCTAAGGATATGCTTACATTGTTACAAGTATGGTTATGATGTTCTTTGTTTAACCTCTAAGGATATGCTAACATTATTAAAAATACGGTTATGATTTCGTACTTGGTTTAACTTATAAAATAAGATAGAAACTGAAGTAATGTCACAACGATCTGTATATTGAGAACCGTGGAAAGTAAAAACTTCTGATCAAAAGTTAGCTAACTATATAGTTCATTTAAAATAATACATTAACAAAGATACTTCGGTATAATAAACGTACTATACAGTAATTAATGTTATAAATTAATACACCAGAAAAGCAAAATCTATAATGATTAAGAATACATTAAATTATCCTATAAATACATTCATTGTTAACTACAATAAAAACCGATGTTGCAGACTATCTATAAAAATAATAATTAAATTTTTTAAACTCTTCGAGACATTCATTCATCATTATTATAAGGTTTCCATACATTTATTATGGTTGTGCAAAGTTAACCACATTTCCATTGTAACAATCAACTTGTGATTAACAAAAACTTTTAATATACTATCTATCGATTATTCAGGATAACTGACAGATCAGCATCCAAGTATTTATTTACTTGAGGTGGCTTTGGTTACAATAGGAAATGAACCATCTAGTTACTATGTGCTACTTACATGAGGGCATGATGTTAGCAATAGCCGTCATGGAGTTGGTACTTGTTAGATTTGCCACAAAAATTAGCTGCAAGAGAAAAAAAAGAAAAGAAATTTGGGTGCGGAGGATTTTATTTTTTAGTAGTAATATTATTTGTAACAATAGATTCTGTGAGGAGTATAAACATATTATTGTTTTCCTATTACGAATGATTACTTCTAAATTTGTGAAAAAGATTAGCAAATATAATCACAAGAAAATGGTAACTGTGAGCTTTAACTGCTGCCATCTAGTGTTAACTGTTCTATGAAAACGCAATGGTAATCAGTTATAACATGTAGGTAAGTGACAGGCTTGAAAACTATAATACTTAATTTTATTTTACATGCTGACGAAATAAAGCTTTTAAAAGCTGCGATTAAGGTTTTAAAACAAAAATCAAATTCTATTTCTTGAAATATAATGTGATATATTTAAACTATTTCTGGAAATTAATGCACTTCTAGTATTAGGTCGTCAAGAAATTATTGTCGCGTTTTGAAACACTTTCATTAACCTCCACCCCCTCCCCATAAAACGGTTAGTATACGACGAGACAAACACTTTCGGCATGTAACTCTGTTTGTATACAAGAAGGGAAATAACGCCTCTGTAGGCCCCCCAGTGGCACAGCGGTATGTCTGCGGACTTACAACGCTAGAAACCGGGTTTCGATACCCGTGGTGGGCAGAGCACAGATAGCCCTTGTGTAGCTTTGTGCATAATTAAAAACAAACAAACAAACAAACGCCTCTGTAGCCACAAATAATATCAAAGAAGTTTATGGAAATGTTTTGAACGCTCGTAAGTGTCAACGATGGTTCAGCAAATTTGGTTCAGGTGACTTTAGCC